ATGATGACCTGCGTTTTGAGGGTTTTTGTGTGTGTGTGTGTGTGTGTGTGTGTGTGTGTGTGTTGTTATTAAACACAAAGGTGTTTTCGAGGCTCAGATTTGGAAAATACTCTTTATGATGATAATGATGACTTTCCAGAACCTTAAATAGATAGGTATGTATATGAATGAATATATGTACTATGTATTTTGAACAAATAAGAAATAGATTGATAGGTATGTATGAATGCATGTATGCAATTTGCACAGATAAGAAATGGACAGATAGAAAAAATTGGCTTGGTCAATTTCAGCAGATAGGAAAAACTAGGATAAAAATTTCAATTGATAGAATTTCATACAGATAAAAATTCAACAAATAGAATTTGAACATACAGAAAAAAATATTAAAAAAAATTGAACAAAAAATAAAATTTGCACAGATATTTGAACAGATAAGGGGAAAAATTTAAAAAGATAGAATTTTTTTTGTACAAATAGTTAAATTTTTTGAACAAATAATCAACAAAAGTCAACAGATAAAAAAAGTTAACAGATAAATTAAGAGATAAAATTAGAAACAAAATGTCTTCTAAAACTAACAAAAGGATTTCTCGCCAAATTATTTCACAAATGTGGACCTTTCACCAACAAAAAATATTTATGAGACCTGATGTCTTAAATCCTCACTACCTTGGACTTTTTAACAATTATCCCAATTTTGAAATTGTAGTTTCTATTATACTCTAATGTAAATTTACTAATAATGATAATATATATTAAATTTTAAAATAATTTTTTTCCCTCATGTATATCCTAACCACTTATATGTATTCTTTATATTAAAGTCTCTTTATCTTCTTTTTTTTCAAATTTCAATTATATTCTGTTCATCTTTTTCCATACTCCAAAACTTCAATTCATCCCATCAAAACTTATTATTATCATCAATATCATTGTTTCTTATTATATTGTTACTCGTAAATAGAAAAAAAATTGAACAAAATCAAACAATAAATGAGAATACCCAATGCTACTACTCTTCTTCATCCCAAAAATCCAATCTTTGTCATGAGAAAAAATACAAACACACACACACACATATATATATATATACATACTCTACTTTTCATTGAACTTTTTGTTGACAGAAATTTTGGCACGTTATTTGGGTGCTGAGAAGTCATAAGAATAGTGAAGTATAACTTGGAAGTTAAATTGGGTTTGATTTCTTTTGATTTTATGACAATTTCTCGAGAATCAAACAAGAAAATGAAAGGAGATATTAGCTCTGCCACTCAAATTACCGATGGCACAACTCTTTTTCAGCCTAAAAATTCAATCTTTCTCATAAGAAAAACACAAACACATATATATAGATATCCTCTACTTTTCATTGAACATTTTTGGTAGAAGAAATTTTGACATGTTGTTTGGAACTGAAAAGTCATAAGAATAGTGAAGGGTAATTTGTGAAAAAATATAAGATATATTGAGAGCAAATTATAACTTTAAATAATTTAGAGAATATTAAAAAATTGGACGTACTAAATAATTTCTCTAGTGCAAATAAAATTACCTGAAATTATATGGGAAGAAATTAAGTAGATGTAGTGCTGTTTTTGATTAGGTCTTTAGTATAACACCCATCAATGAACTGGACTTAGGCCCATACACCGCTAAATGACATGATTGAGCATGAGGACTTAGGCCCATGTGCTGCAAATATAAGCAGAAAATAATACAGCAACGCTATAATTTGTGATAATAAGTTAATGCGATATAAATTAATTAATTCTATAGAGGACACAGATGGATTGAACCGTTTAGTCTCGTGAGATCTATTATAATTCTCATTTCGATAATTTGAAATGTCTATTTTTAAAGTCACAATGTCTAGATTATTTATGTAAAAAATCAAATCGATTTAATAACAGTATATATATGTTAGTTTATGACATTTATTTGCAAAAAACTAAAAAACACATATTATTTGAAAAATAGACCATTTATTTTTTGAAAGCTAAATGTAATAAACTAATGTGGCTACAATTATCAGATCAACCTAATAATGGATGATCTACATATTGTAATCTAAAAAATAAACGATTCGAATTATTGAGATGAGACCCGTGGTTGACTTTACAAGTCCAAACATATAAATTGTTTTTTACATTTATCTTGCTTGAGATTTTAAAATCCCGTTAGAATATCTCCAACGCTTCATCAAAATTTTCATCAAATTTAAGTAAAAATTTGATGAAAAGTTTGATCTGATATGATACACTCCAACGGTTTTTATTAATTTTACCGGTCTTTCGGTTAAGAGTAAATTTTCATCAAATTCATCTCAAAACCAGGTTGTTTAGGAGGTTGTCCATCCAGTCGTCCACCAACGGTCACCTGCAAAATTTGATGAAAAATTAAACGCTTCCTTAATTTGATGAAAAATATACCGCTCATTTCATTTGATATCAGTTTGATGAAACGGTTAGAGCACCGTTTGCATCAATTTTTTCATCAAATTTGAATTTGATAAAAGATCTGTGATACAACGTTAGAGATGGCCTTAGTGATGCACATTATATCTGAGAAAGAAAAGCCTATAACTTTGCCACATTGGTCTCTTTATATTATTAGCTTATGTACCGTGTGTTTGACAAGTATCAAATTTTAATTTGTCAAATATTCTATCATGTAAGGTTTAACCTCAGTGTCACATTATTATGGATGATTTATAAATGATAAATTAGAAGATGTAACATTGTCATTTTCATAAAGACTTTGTCGTCAATAGTTTAAAATCCTAAAACATTGGTTTCTTAATAATTCACTCAATTAATATAATAACTCTAATGCTTCTTTTTTTTTCATTTGAATGAAATGAAATAGAATGATGATTTCATCATAATATTCATCTTCACGTTTGGTTCACTTAAAAAAATAAAATATGTATATATATATATATATATATATTGCAAATAAATTAAGGGAAAATTATTCTAAGGTCCTTCTCCCATTTTTAATAATGGATGAGGTCCACAATATTATTTTGTGATGTCTAATGTCCCTCAACCCCACATTCATATATCACAGAGGAATTTGACTCTCTCAAATCAACTTCCCGATCTCGATCTCATCATCATCATTCATTCCTCAATCGAAAACACCAATAGCCATAACAGAACAGAGCATAAGAGAGAAAGAGAAAGGGTTGTTTCCTCACAGTCAGAGTACACGCCATGGACGAACAAGATCCCTATCTCCCTATCGGGTTTCCAAGTACCCGTGGGAAGAACAACAACAGTTGCAACAGCTGCAACAAAACACAAAACAATCTTCAAATACTTCTTCGACCCTATCTTTCTCATCTTCCAAAGGAAGTCACAGGAAACGGAGATTCAAAGACTTTTTCTTGTTCAAGAGCGTGTCAGAGGGGTGAGTATCGGACACAGATACACTCAGGAAATAAGCGATTTTGTTCAAGAAACATGAAGATGCCAAGAATCTTCGAGCTTCAAATCCATAGAAGGATCCACTACGAGAAGAAAATGGGACAGTTTATTCGGAAGCAAAAGAGAAACAATAATTATAAGCAAATCAGAGAATTTGGGAAAGATGAGGAATGGAGTTGGAAGAGAAGAGAAAACTGCAATTTTCTCTGATTTGATCAATTTTCTCTAGTTGAGTCAAAACACAATTTTCTCTGACATGTTTAATTTTCTCTGTAATGTTCAATTTTCTCTGGATTTCTCTAGTTTAGAATTTCTCTAGAAGAGAAGAAAGAAATATAATTTTCTCTGGTTTGATTAATTTTCTCTAGTTGAGTCAAAATACATTTTTCTCTGCCTTAAATAATTTTCTGTATGATGTTAGAATCTTGTGACAAAAGGGGACAAAAGAGAAATTTTCAAATGCATTTTGTTGAGTGATAGAAGTTAGAATCCTGTTATTGAAGTAGGATCAGTATTAGTTGTAAGTCATTTTTAAAAGATTGTGAATTAGATTGTCATAATGTTGGTATTTACCTCCACAATTGGTATTAGTTTTCAAGTTGTAGGTTGCACAAATTTGAACTCAGGGAAATTTCAATTTTCTCTGGGTTTGGGAAGTTCAGAATTTTTCAATTTTCTTTGGTTTGAAACCACCACTCAGACCACCACTGCATTCATCAAAGGCAGTGGTAGAGATATCAAAGATGAATTGTGAGAAAAAAGTACTAAAATCTTGAAGAGATTTGTAAACTAGAGAAAATAGTGAAGAGATCTGAATAATGATGAAACCTTTTGAATTTTCTCTAGATTTGGCAATTTTCTCTGGATTACCCTTAATTTTTCTCTGGATTTGACAATTTTCTCTGGATCAAATTTTCTTAGAATCGATATTGAGGGACCTTAGATATTATGAAAATATTAGATGTCCTTTATACTATAAAATCTTAATTCTAGGAACCTTAAAAAAAAATCCCCCATAAATTAATTATTCACCATTATAAACGGAAAGCAAAAATTTGCCTCTAAAATAGTGCAACATGTCTGGTTTATTGGCATTCTTGAAGAAATTAATTCCATTCATGTTTTTGTTAGTAACGCGTATATATGTCCAATTTTGGTGATGATTTTTGTTTTTATTTTCTGTCTTCTTCTTCTTCTTCTTTTTTATTTTTTTTATTTTTTAATTTTATTTTTTATATAGGAGATAAAATAAGAACATCAATATCCTTAAAACTAAGATCAAGCATAGCCATTCTGGCATTAACCAAGCAGAAATTTCTAGATAGAAATTACATTTAGATGATGTGACAATGGTTGGTTTTTTGAAATAATAAATTAAAATGGTAATCGTTTTAATTAGAAATAAAAAGCACAAAAGAACACATTATTTTGTTTGATAATATTCCGGTTAGTAATTGAGAAATTGGCTTCTAATAAAAAAAAATAAAAAATAAAAAGAGAAAAGGAAAAGGTTTTCCTCCAACAGTGCAACAAACAAGGATTTTAAAAATTATGCAATAACATCAATATCTAACATGGGGCAGAACAGAACAAGACAAGGACATGGAACAGAACAGAACAAAACAAGGATTGGATTTGAAGATATCAAAGTGCATATACTTGTGCATATATCAACTTTTAATTAAGTTAATTACATTTTGTTCTTGTTGTTCTTCAAGTTCATGAGATAGTTGGAGGCAGCTTCCATAATCATCACCAATGGTTGGATGCTGACCATGGAGGAGGCATTAGCATTAGTAGTAGCAGCAGCAGCATCTTCTTTGACTTCATACTCAATTGTGGATCCTGTAATGCAACTTTCCTCCCCTTTCTCTATTATTTCAAGTCGAACCCGAAACAAACTGAATCCAAAATCAAGATATCCTCCTTCGACAACCTCTGTTTCCTTCACTCTCTTCTTATCATCTATCTTGGTAAACTTCTCCTTGTACGACGAAAAACCAGGTGTCCCTAAAATTTTATTTAATTTGTTGTCACAAAAAAAAAAAAGAGCATAAAATGGCATATATGTTGTTAAATAAATATATACCTGGTGGAAATATTATGTTGAGAATGGTCCTAACTCCTCCATCACCTTGTATGACATCAATTTTTTCGATAACATTAGGGAGTTCTTCTCCGATGAACTTGGCAAGTTGGAGAGTCCCATATAGTTCCCAAGCTTGGCTCGCCGGCACGTTTACTTCAATCTCCTCTAAAACTCTTCCCAACATTTTTCTTCTATCTTCTTCTTCTTGGTGATGGTGGTGGTGTGTATATATATATATATATATATATGTGTGTGTGGGGATATATTTTTGAGTACCAACATGTGGCAAGGTGACGCCGACGTGTCAATCAAGGTGCCACGTGTCCTGGTCGTTATGCCGAGGTCATCTCAGTTAGACCGAGGTTATCTCCGAAGATATCGGAATCCGAGATAAGCGGATAAGAGATAAGGGACAAGAGTCCTAGAATAAAGAAGAGACTTAGCCCAGATAAGGATGAAGCTCTTAGAGAGTTTTTCTTTATCTCTTGAGGAGTCCAAAGTAAGTACTGAAGAGGAATCCATAGAAGTCAGGCTTCTATTGGGATTAGGATTGAGGTAACTATAAAAGAGAGGCACCCCCATGGGTCTAAGGTACGCAATTTATATTCTGTCTAGTGAATTAAGCACTTTTGATTATCTTTGAGAGATATACTGACTTGATCGTCGGAGTGCCCCCGGGTGGACGAACCACCGCCGGAATCTTCTCTTTCTGTTACAGGTTAGCCAGGTGCCATCTATTCTGCCAGTGTTCTCCAGCTGAATACTGAGTTGGGCAGTGCGATAGGAAAATCACCCACACAATCTGGCGCCGTCTGTGGGAAAGAAAGTAGAATAGATGGCCAGTAACGAACAGAAAGAAAAGATTGGGGACGACACTCTTGCTGAGAGTAGGAGACCTATTGACCTTGATATCACAGGAGACGAATGCAACGCAGAAACTCATGACCAGAATCACAAAGTGAAAGACGTCGGCCAAACTGGCGACGCACCAAAAAAACCAGATCGAAGTGGATACTACAACGAGGATGACCTCCAGGTTTGGAATGATAGGTCCCTACGGAGGGACGAAGAGGTAAAAGAGATGGCAAACAAATTGGCAAACCTACAGTCGGTCGTCAATTTCATGATGCAAAATAACGTCATGCAGCCACCATTCCCGCTGCAGGACACACCGATCCCAGCGGCCAATGCCCAGAAGGGAGGGCAGAAAACAATCCCCATAGCCCCTCAGCACAACGGGAGCGAAAGATACTCTTACCGACCATCCAGGGAAGTCAGACGAAGAGAGTCAAGAAGAGAAGAATCACGAAGGACGCACCGCACAAAGGAGGCAGACCCTAAAGGACATCGGCATGTTCAGGGACAGGCACTGTGCTTCGATACAACTCGTGGAGAGGGGTCGAAAAGGACTCACCACGAAGCTGAAAGTAACGCACCAAAAAGACTGAAAGCAGGAGATAGCCGAGCTCCTGGACAGAGCAAAGAAGACTTAAGAGATTACCTCAAGAGGAAGCAACAAAATGCCTACGTCGAGGTAACCTCCCCAGATAAGCCGAGGACACCATTCTCGGTGGAATTAGACAGGTTTGAGGCGCTGAAGAGATTCAGTATACCGAGATTTCAAATATACGATGGTAAGTCAGACCCCAACTTCCACGTTGGACTATATTTGAACTCAATGGCATTATATAGTGGGAACGAGCCGTTGCTCTGCAAAGTGTTCCCCTCATCCTTCGGGGAGATTGCATCAGATTGGTTCCACAAACTACCAAAGAGAAGCGTGAAGACTTGGGAAGGCCTGGCCGAGATGTTTGTGGCCAGGTTCATGACAAACAAGCTGCAGCCATTAAGGGTGGACGCATTGATGGCTTTGGAGATCAGCAAGGATGAAGGCCTTAGGGCCTATGCAAAAAGATACTATGAGGTGTTCAATCGAATACCCGAATGTAATCAAGAGGTGGCAGTCGTATCTTTCAAGAACGGCTTAAAAGACAACTGTCCACTACGAAAGTCTTTGGCAAAGACATTGCCAAAAAGTATGGAAGAACTCATGGTAAGAATCGAGAAGTATGCCAGAGCCGAAGAAGACACGTCGGGGGCTAAGGAGATAAAACAAGAGAAAGGAAACGGCTCGCTGAAGCGAGGCCGAGGTAACAATGGATCGAGCAAACAAGAAGTAGAACTGAGGGCCACACAGGCAGTAACAACTGTGTTTCGAATCCCGATTTACAAAGTCCTAGATCAAATTTGGAACCAGCCCTATTTCAGAACGCCAGAGAGGACTCCAGGAGAGTTCATGGAAAGAAACATTGCTAGACATTGTGCCTACCACAATGAAGATGGGCATACAACTCAGGGTTGTAGAGCCCTAAAAACACATTTGGAAGACCTGGTGAGACAAGGACATCTGAGAGACCTTGTCGATGAGACCGGGACAAGGGAAGAACGGCAAGGTTGCCTCAGGCGCCAGCAGCCCTACCTCCCCCAGCACAGCAGCCGCAGGCAGAAGGACCTCGGGTAATCAACGTAATCTACTCGAAGGTTAACGAAAACGAAATCTGAGGAGAGACCCAGAAGGTAAAACACCTACAACATGTCAACCAAGTCGGGGAGAAAAGACGCCGGGTAGAAGAGTGCCAGGGACCAATGATAACCTTTACTGAAGCCGATCTAGAGATGGTCTAACATCCGCATAATGATGCCTTGGTAGTATCTCTCCAGGTTAGGGAGTGCCAAGTGAAACGTATCCTGATTGACCAAGGCAGCTCCTGTGACATCATGTACGTCCGATGTTACAAGGAGCTCGGCCTTCACCCAGATGATATGGAACAATCCAATGGCCCAATGGTTGGGTTCAATGGAACGCCGACATGGCCACTGGGAACAGTAAGCTTGGAGGTGCAGGCTGGCACTAGGAAGATCAAGACAAAATTCACCATCATCGACACACCCTCCCCTTACAACATCATCTTGGAAAGGCCATGGTTGCATGCAATGGGGGTAGTTCCCTCAACATTGCATCACCTATTGCGATTCCCAACAGAGCATGGGATAGAGGAAGTCAGAGGCGATCAGCTGCAGGTGAAGAATTACTCCATGGCAGCAATGAAATCTACCTGCAGCATACGAGAGCCAGAAAAGACAAAAATTGAAGATGAGGACGTGGAAGTCCTAGAAGACGTCGGCAAGGAGCCGGCCGAGAAGAGCGAAGAGGCACTGAAGAAAATCCTCGTCCAGGATGGGGATGAAGAACGCTTCTTTCTTCTCGGCTCGGGCTTAGCCGAAGAGGAGGAAAAAGAATTTGAAGCTTTTTTGAGAACAAATATTGAGGTGTTCGCTTGGACACCTTACGAAATGCCTGGTATTGACCCCGAGGTCACTTGCCACAAACTGAATGTTAATCAATTTCATGATGCAAAATAACGTCATGCAGCCACCGTTCCTGTTGCAGGACACACCGATTCCAACGGCCAATGCCCAGAAGTGAGGGCAGAAAACAATCCCCGTAACTCCTCAGCACAACGGGAGCGAAAGATACTCTCACCGACCTTCTAGGGAAGTCGGACGAAGAGAGTCGAGAAGAGAAGAATCACGGAGGACGCATCGCACAAAGGAGACAGACCCCAAAGGACATCGGCAAGTTTCCCATTACCCAAGATTGACCAATTGGTGGATGCCACTTCAGGGCATGGAAGGATGAGCTTCTTGGATGCCTACAGGGGGTACCATCAGATAGCTATGTACCCCCCAGATGAAGAGAAGACTGCGTTTATCACCCCACAAAGGCTGTATTGCTACAGAGTGATGCCTTTTGGGTTAAAAAACGCAGGAGCAACTTACCAAAGATTGGTAACCAAACTGTTCAAACACCTGATTGGCCGAACAGTAGAAGTCTACATTGACGACATGGTCGTTAAGACCAAGGAGCCTGAGGGTCATCTTGCCGATCTAAAAGCAGTCTTTGAAATCCTTAAAACATATTAGCTCCAACTCAATGCATCGAAGTGTGCATTTAGAGTTGGATCTAGTAAGGTTTTAGAATACCTGGTGACTAGAAGGGGCATCGAGACCAGCCCAGATCAAATCAAGGCCATCCTGGAGTTGAAGAGCCTGACGTCGGCAAAACAGGTGCAGATGCTAACTGGAAGGGTTGTAGCCCTGAACAGATTCATCAGCAGAAGCTCAGATAAGTGCAGACCTTTCTTCAACTTGGTGAAGAAAGCCACAGACTTCCTGTGGACAGAAGAATGCGAAGTCGCTTTGGCCGACCTGAAGAAGTACTTGACCACAGCTCCAGTTCTTTCAAACCCAGAACTTGGGGAGGAGCTGTTCCTGTACTTAAACGTTTCAGAACATGCGATAAGTGCAGTACTAATCCGAGAAGAAAAAGGGCAGCAAAGGGCAGTTTACTATGTAAGCAAAACCCTAGTCGACGCAGAAACGAGGTATCTACCCTTAGAGAAATTAGCACTAGCTTTAGTAATAGCTTCAAAGAAGTTGAACCATTACTTCTAGGCCCATAAAATTGTGATGCTAACAGAGCACCCCTTGAAGTCCTTACTGCGACAAGGAGACCTGACAGGAAGAATAGCCAGGTGGGCAGTCATCCTAGGCCAGTATGACCTGGAGTACAGGCCAAGGACAGTAATTAAAGGCCAGGTTCTGGCTGACTTCGTGGCTGAGCTCACACCAGAATCCATCGAACATCAGGCTCCGTTGAGCCAGGATGAACGATGTCCATACAAGCAAGGAGAAGCCCAAACAAAGGCAAAAGAACAAAAGAAAGCAGAAAAACTCAGACCCTGCAGCATTTACATCGGCGACTCCTTTTGACTGTTCGTTAATGGGAGTTCAAACCGACAGGGAGCAGGGGCAGGAGTAGTATTGATATCCCCAGATGGGCAGGTACTAGAACAGTCAATTCGTTTGGGGTTCAAGGCCTCAAACAATGAAGGAGAGTATGAAGCACTCATTGTAGAACTGAAGTTGGCAGCAGCAGTGCAAGCAGATGAGGTAATAGTTTTTTGTGATTCACAACTGATAGTTAACCAGACAATAGGCGAGTTTGTAGCCCGAGATGAACGAACGTCGGCCTATGCAAAGGAAGTCATCAAACTGTCAGCCTTGTTTCAGAACTGCCGACTACTTCAGGTAAGCCGAGATGATAACAGCCACGCCGATGCA